GGGGAGGTTTGAGAAGGGGTGGGGTGAAAAAAACGGGCATGTGGTGTGGTTGGTGCGCGCACAGCAGTTGTTGATTAACGGGCTGGTGTGGGAGGGTGTTCACGAATGCTACCGTGTCCGTGAATGCTGCTTTGGCTTTGATGACGTACGGAGGGGAGTGACGTTCAATGAAAATCCTTCGTGTTTCCTCGAAGCAGAGAACAGGGGAGCGAATTCGACGAATTTCAAGCACAATAACAGGAGAATTACGGAGAAAACGTGGAGCGACAGACTCAAAGAAGTATCTCGACAGAAAGCGAGTCCACCACGTGTCCGTCCATTTACCCGCATGCCGTAGGAAGCTGAAGAGCTCACGGGCTTACGCGACTGCATACCGGTTCTCGACGGACCGTGGACGACCGTCGACGACCGTAGACGACCGCCTGCGGTGCTTCTGCTGGTTTACCTCGCCATGTGTCACGAACGGATGCTTTCAACCACACGGGATGCCTAATACCTATCTGGCGCAGTGTACTCGGCACTCACGATGCGCCACGCGTCTCTCTCTTCGAGCTATCCGTCAGTACTCACGCCATGCGTCGCATCGGTCTAGGTTTCCTGGAAACGCAACGAATCATGTTGCTCCACTAGTCCACCGTTAAATAGTAGTTACTTCTCCGAATTAAGCATCGCATTGCCCCACTCGTTACTAGCACACTCACGCATCTCGTCGATCCCTCGGAGGTACGCTTTGTAGTCGTAGAGTTTCGCCATGGTCGCGCGACACTCCTTCAGGTCCGCCTTTATCTGTGCGACAGTCGGCGAGGCGCGCGACGGGGCGACGGCGACGCAGAGAAGCATCGCACATGCGACAGCAAGCGACAACGCTGGCATAGGTCGCGTGTGCGCCATGGTTGACTGGAGGAAAGGGACGTGGAGGTTTCGGCCTGCTTTGCGACAACACTGGCAAGTAATTAAAATTCGCTCGACCAGCGAGGAAGGGCGCTGACGAAGATAGGAAAACGTTCAACCTCTAGCGGCATAGGAAATTTGGAACGCTGGCGAATAGACTCCAAGTTGATGATAATCAACTGACCAAGTTGAGGTTGAGTAGCGGAGGCTGGACCTCGACAGAGAAAACGACGGCCTCGGAAATACAGCGGAAACGGAGAGGCTGAGCGGAGCACAGTGATGTGGTCTGGCAGAAAGACGAAACCGAGAGACTGGCAGAAGTGAGCGAGTTACGGAAGAAAAATTACATGAAATATACTCTATATCAGCGGGCATGAAATTCGGTCATTCAGAAAGCATTGTGAATATCTGTGCGAGGGGGCAAGGGTAGTTTGGAGCTCGTGTCTGGCACTAGTGTGAAAAGAATCCACAACTGCGGTGAAGAAATTGCTGATGCGGCAGATTCGTAGCTTTTAGTAAGAAGAAACTCTCTATTCTCCAAGCGTACAGTATTTGCCCATGAATCTTCCTAGTTACCCGATCTGAGCCCAGAAGTGAGGCAAATCAAGACCGAGCTCTTCTGTCTGGAGATCGGTTTCGGTCGGACCGCGCGCACAGGTTTGGCTTGGTTCGGTTGGCGTGGTGTTTGTGGCGGCGGCAAGGGAGGGGACTACAGAGACCCTAGTCGCATTTTGTTAGGGCACTCTCGCTGTAAAGGTTGCACTCAAATATAATGAGTGACCTTATTCAAAGGCTGATATAAAACTTTTCTTAGATACGCTTGTTCCCGCTTTCGGACCATAAGAGAGCGGATTGTGGAACTGGCTTTGCTGTCGGTTGGTCTACTGCCCCTGGGCAAGTGGTGAAGGTAGTGCAGCACAAATGCTTGGTTGCTGCTGGCCCTCCGGCTGGTTCGGGCAGTAGCCAAACAAAGTTTGGGAGGACGTTCGCAATGGCGACGCGGGATTGATTTGGTTTTCAACCCAGCCTCAGTGGTTGGTTTGGGACGGAATGCTTCACTTGCCCAGCAATGATGAGGTGGGGTCAAAGGCTCGCTTGTGCGTTTCGATAAGGCAAAGCTTTCGTCAATTGTCATGTAGTTCTATCTCAAATAACGTTACTAAAAAAGGTGATCAAATCAATGCCCAACGCCCATCCAGCAAATCAAATAATACGGCTACCTCTCAGAGTAATGAATTGAGTATTCTTAGGGGATACACTGGGATATAACCTAAGGTGTTGTACTCTCTACGAGCATGCACCTATCTAGCCTATAACATATACAATTATATGTTGACACATCCCCTAGGCTAAACAAGGGGCAATGACTAGCACAAGACACGCAGCTCAGGGTGGCACTACTAGTCCAACCTCTGAGAAAAGTGTCTGAAGACCAGTCAGCAAGAGAACAAAGAAAACAAGAGTAACCAAAGGCGGCACAACTAGTCCAGCCACCACAACAGAGCCACAAGGCCAGTCAAGATAATATTAGGAGTAGTACACAATCAAGGTCCTAGCAAGTGAGAAGCTACATGAACTAGGCCAAGCTGTACACAGTGTCGCTGATGATCTTTAGGCGCAAGCGCCTTCGTAAAGATATCAGCTGTAATGGCACCGGAGGCCAAGTGGACTACGCAGGCCTGATGACGCTGCTGTAGCTTGTGCAGGAGGAAGTACCGCAGCTGGATGTGCTTCTCTCTGCCCTCCAATTGAGGCTCCTGATACAATAGGATCATGGCCCTATTGTCAGCGTACAGAACTGAGGCAGAGCTAGGCCCCTCACCAAAGTTTGTGAACAAGAAGGTCAGCCAGCGGAGCTCCTGTTCCGCCATGGCACCGGCGTAGATCTCAGCCTCACATCTAGACTTAGCAAGAGACGACGAGTGGGTGGACCTCCATGAGATGGCGCCTGCACCAAGGCTAAAGCAGTAACCCTGGGAGGACCTGAGCGTCTCAGCGTCGTGTGCCCACGAAGCGTCTGCGTGCTCTGTAAGGACCACTGGTCTGCCTCCCCGCACTAGCCCCATGCCCGATGTACTTGCTAGATAATGCAAAACCCTCTTAGCGGCCGACTAGTGCTGTGGCCGGTGTCTGCCTGTGGCCACAAAGCGAGCCAGGATGCTGAGAGGGTATGCGAGATCTGGGCGAGTGCTAGTCATCAGGTACATGAGGCAACCCACCAGCTCTACGTAAGTACCATTAGACTCTACAGACTCCTCAAAGACTGGAGCAAAGAGCCTGTGATCTACTGGCAGAGGTGGCGGCAGTGCAGAGGAGAACTGAAGACCGAACGTCTGAAGGACCTGGCGCACCAAGTGTGACTGTGTAAGAGTGATGGTGCGCGCTGCTCTGTCCCCGGAGATCTGCAGGCCAAGGTAGCGGAGCAACTCTACTAGGTAAGTGCCGGTGTGTCTCCTCAGCAGCTTTGCCTTCACGTAGCCCAGTGCGTCTCTGTCTGCATTAGCAAAGACCAGATCGTCTACGTAGACAAGGATGTAGAACCGGTTCTGGCCAGCACGAACGAAAAGAGCAAAGGGTCTGCAGACGACGGGCAGAACTGCAGGTTAGCTAAAATAACACGCAGCATATCGTGCCACTCACGGGGGACCCGCCGCAGGCCGTAAACCGGGCGCCGGAGGAGCCACCCTGTACCGGGGGTGAAGGTGCCGGTGAAGACGGGCGGACGACTTTGGTAGACCTGCTCGTGTAGACTGCCCTGGAGAAACGTTGTGGAGAAGTCGAAGGAGTGCAGCTCGTAGTCACGCTGTACTGCTACAGATAACAGCGCCTGAAGAGTAGTTATCTTTGGGGTTGAGGCGAAGGTTTGAAAGAAGTCAACACTCTTGCACTGACTGAAGCCTTTAGCCACGTGGCACGTCCATCGGACATCGACTACGTTCACCACGGGTGGGGGAACTGTATCGACATAGGTGCCGGTGGATCTCCAATATGCCATCTCCGCGTCCATGGCAGCTATCCACTGAGAGGGCCAGGATCCCAAGGGCGCCTCAGCGTAAGTGCGAGGGGTCGGGATCTCAAGGGCGTCTGGGTCACTCTCATGGACTAGCAGCATGGAGCAGAGATAAGGCGCGACCTCGGGTAGGAAAGCTAGCTCGTACTGCCGGTCCTCAAGGACATCACTGCCAAAGGAAGAAGCGCCCCCGATGGACGGGGGACTGGCAGTGTTAGATACCAGAGGTGTGGCGTAGTCAAGACGGCGGGTAGAGGCAAAGTTAGCGACGGCAGCGACAAGAGTGTCAAGACTTGAGACAGGAACAAACGGGTCGGTTACGAGGGAGGCAAGGACCCGAGGAATAAGAGGACTAGCGGCACAAAGGAAGTCAGACAGAGGAGGCGAAGCGATAGAAAGCAACAACGGAGGTGGAGAGGATGAGACGCGTGGGAACGGAGCAACATAGGGTGACAGTGCTTAACAGAAGAGACACGACGAGCACGGGAGGGACAGCGAGACCAGAAGTGAGTTGGAGGCGTCGGGTAAGGAGACACAAGAGGAGAACGAGGGGGAAAACGAGCCATAGATGTCGCATTGCCTCTCCCTGATGGCCCGACTCTCCCTTCTAGCCCGGCTTCTCCTGTGCCTTCCCTTTCCTTCCCTGATATGTAATTGTCACTGATTTCTCCCGCTCTAACGAAAGGCTTCAAGGAAGCTTTCTTAGTTCAATACCGCCCCTGTCTGGCCTCTCTACATAGCTCTAGCTGTGCTCCTGAATGAATCCACTACTCACAGAGCATACACGCTTTCCTATGATAACAAGAGAACAAACAAAAGTAGCTACACAACTACGCACTTGCAGTTTTGTGGCTACCTCCTAGTAGATTCACTCCGGAGCGCGCACCCCTCCCTCCCTTGAGATCAGCCGATGTTCGTTTCGGGTTTTTCTCCACCGTGATGGCTCCATGTCGCTTTGCGATCGACGCTGCCTCCTGCCTTCCTGCATGCCTTCTTCCCTAACTGCTCTCGACCCGCCCAGCTGTACCCTTCCTGCATGCCTCTCTTGCCAACGGTCGCACCGCCTTTCTGCATCCCAACCTCGATCTGAACACCCATCACTGTACACCCCCTTTTATCGCCATAACCATGTACACCCCTCTTTCTCCAACCCTTTTTGCTTAAACTTCCCGAGTTGTCCCACGGATTTTCATAACACATTCGTTATGTCAATTCGTGCGACAGCTGTCTCATTCCCCCTCCCCGATGGCCCGACTCTCCCTTCTAGCCGGGCTTCTCCTGTGCCTTCCCTTTCCTTCTCTGATATGTAATTGTCACTGATTTCTCCCGCTCTTGCCCCCTCGTTGCTGGTGTAGCGTCCCTGCCCACCTGCCGCAACCCTCCTGCGCATGCTACATTCGAGTCATGGTCCCGCACTTGCCGCCCCTTTGAATCTCGCAACTCTAGCACTCCCGAGCCTTTCACCTTCACCACCTCCCAGCGCTCCCGGCTCAGTCCGCACTCCAGCGTGTCCCTGCGCTGTTACCTCAGGTACACCTCATCCCCCACCTGGAGCGTTTGTGGTCGCCCCCCGCCTTCCTTGGTCCCTTGCTGCCTCTGGCTGTAGCGCCTGGCATCCCTCAGCTGAGCTACCTCTAGGTTTTGTAGTGCCGCCGGCAGTACTGACCGCAGATAACTAGCGCGTGTTGCAGCCACTGCCGCCCATTGTCGAGGGTCATCTGTCCCCATGGGCTCCATCATGATGCGTGGGGCGTCTACTGGCAGTATCGGTTCCTTCCCGTAGAGCTGGAAGTACGGGGAGTAGTTTCTCAGGGCCTGCTGCTTGCTGAAGCGATACCCTGCGGCCACCCATGGGAGCTGCAAATCCTATTCCCTTCTCTCCTCTTCTTCACAGTACTTCCGCAAGCCCTACTTCAAGGTCTGTACCATCCGTTCAGTTAAGCCATCCGCTTGCGGATGATACCTCGAGGTCCGTCGGTGGGTTATCCCCACTTCTTTCACCACAGCATCGAATTCTCCAGCGAATTCAGTACCTTGGTCTGTCAATACTTCTCCACACGCCCCGAACCTGGTTAGCACTTGCTGCACGAATCCCTCTGCTACTCCCGCGGCTGTCTTCCGCGCCAATGCAGCCACTTCCAGCCACTTGCTAGTGTGCTCGATCATCACCAGCACATATTGCTTACCCTGGCTGGAGAGTGGAAGTTCTCCTGCTATATCGAGGGACCATCGGTACCCTATCTGACCAATTGGCAGTAACTGCAAGTTCCTCCGAATGCTTCCCAGCTGCACCTTACTCTTATTGCACGGCTCGCACTGCCTCACCACTGCTTTTACCTCTGACCGCATCCCATCCCACCAGTACATGGTCTATAGTTGTTGCATGGTCCGCTCGACTCCGTAGTGCCCCAGCTTTGTATGAATCTTGGTGATTAGCTCCCCTCTCTCTTCTGGCCTTGGCACAATATGCCAGCCATCCTCTGTCACTAACTGCAACTGGTTTTCCTGCCAGTGGTAGTGCACACCTCGCGCCCGCACCCTCTCCGAGACCTCTGCCCCATCCGCTCCCACTCCTCTCACCCAGTCTAGCACTGGAGCATCTTCCCATATTTCTCTGCTTCCCTTGAGCTCTGGTGACCTTCTCCGCCAACAAACCTTTTCCACAGCTACTGCCATGTGGGCCAGACTGATCTCGGCCGTCGGCTGCCTCTTTTCCCCTTCCCCTTTGTCTTGCCGCGACAGCCCATCCACGTGCTGCAAGGTTTTGCCTGGCCTATGCTTTATCTCGAAGTCGAACTCCTGGAAGCGCATCGCCCAAAGCGCATTCCTGCCCTTCAGGGTTTGGTTCCGCATGAGCCAGAGCAATGGCTGATGGTCAGTTACTAGGGTGAATCTTCGCCCCTGCAGATATGATCGAAACAGCTCCACCGCCCATACCGCCGCCAGCCCTTCTCCCTCGTATGAACTGTAGTTACTCTCCGCTGGCCTGCATGACCGGCTGGCGTAAGCCACCACCCTCTCTGTCCCCTTCTCCCTCTGGCACAGCACCGCCCCCATGCCGCTACTGCTCCAGTCCGTGTACAGCAAAAACGGTTCCTCGGGATCGGGCAGCTTCAGCATGGGGGTCGTTTTCACAGCCTCCTTCAGTGTCTGCCACGCCTCCTCCTGCTCTCTCCCCCAACTCCATGCCGTATCTTCTCTCAGCAGCATATTGAGTGGCTTCGCCGTCTTACTAAAGTTCGGGACAAACTTTCGGTAATAGTTGAGAAACCCCAACTGTGCCCGAAGAGTGCTACGGTCATAGGGGGCCTTCAGGCGATCCACGACTTCTACCTTGGCCTGCTGGACCGATAGTCCTCCTTCTCCCACCTGAAAGCCCAGGTACGCCACGGTTGTCACTTCGAAAGAGCATTTCCCCGGATGGCATGTCAATCCGGCCTCCTGCAAGGCCTCCAGCGTCTTAGCTACGTCCTTTACGTGCTGCTCCCCGTCTTTGCTATGGATCACTACGTCGTCGATGCAACACAAGGCGCAGGGGACGTTCTGCAGTACCTGGTCCATCACCCTCTAGAACTTCGCCGAGGCGTTTTTCAGTCCGAATGGCATGAAATTCCATTCGTATAGGCGGTCCGGCCCATGAAATGCCGTCTTCGGTTTATCCTCCTCTCTAATAGGTATCTGATTAAAGCCCTATCTCAAATCCAGAGTGGAGTAAATCCTACTCTCCGCCAGCTTGTCAAATATTTCTTCGGCCATCGGCATCGAGTACCTGTCACTCTGAGTGATCTGGTTTAACCCCCTGTAATCTCCGCACATCCTTCTAGCCAGCATTTCTTCCGTCAGATCCTTCCTCGCACCACCGTCGCCGCTGCGTACTCCGAAGTTGATTCTTGGATCAAACCGGCCTCTAGGAGTTCTCTACATTTCTCTACTGCTATGTCTCTGTCCCCCGGGCTAAGTCGCCGCCTTCGCTGATATACTGGCGCTTCACTCTGCAGCTCGATCGCCATCTCCGCCCTGGTGCACTTGCCCAGCTCTTGTAGGGAGTATGCGAAAGCTCCCCGTGCCCCCTCCAGTACCTTCTGCATCTGCCACTTTTGCTCCTCATTCAGCCCGTCATCCATGCTCCAAGCACCTTCTCCTTGCCCTGCTGGCTCCGCTTGTCGTGTGTCTCCCTCTTCGATTCCCACCGACTCTCCATTCCCCTGGGGCACCTCCACTTCCTCTGGTCCTCGCCGGGCCATTAGATTGAGTCCTCTCGCATTTAGCAATCTCCCGCTGCAATCCCTCTCGGCCTGCATCTGCCCTCTCCATTGTCGCCATTCCTCTGCCGTCTCAAAGGCCTTCTCTGGTTCCTTGTCTAGCATCTCCTCTCCACCTCCACATCATCAGCAGCTGGGCTCTCATCCCTTCTTGCCGTTGCTCTGCCCGGTACAGCAGCCAGACCAGTGCATGCTGGTCCATCGCGCCTCCCAGTGCTCTCCTCCGGGCCTCCTCCGATACCCCATCTGCTGCTGTGGCGTTCCTCAGGTACCCCATGGCTCTCTCCCGCTCCACCGCCCACGGCTCCTCCCATGCTTCCGTAGCAATGTCTTGTACCATGCCCGGCCCTGTCGCCCCTCTTCCATCCGGAATGCGTAACTACCGGGTGTGGCAACCAACTTCGGCTAGACTTGCCTTGGTGCCCCCACTTCATTGCATGGGAATTGATTCCGCGCGTCTGGGGTAGTCACCGGAGCTGGCCTCCTCCCTGGCTCTAGGATGTCTTGTACTAGTCTCGGCACGGGTCTCTGCATCCGCCCTAGCTGGTCTCTCAGCACCGGCTCTGGAATCATGTTCTGCCAGTAGCGGCGGACTCTCCTCGCCTTCGACCCCATCTGCGCTGCATCCCAGGCCACTCCATGGCCCAGTTCCTTGGTCACCAGCTTATGAGCTTCCCTGGCCAGGGCCCTCTCATCCTCGGCTACATCCAGGTTTTCCACGTTATAGGAAAAGGGTCCTTGTCGCCTCTTGATCATCTTCATTACTCTGATCAGTTCATGAAACAGTGCTGTCCGGGAATCAACCAGCCCTCGTCCCATGCCTTCCCTTGACAGCCCCTGGCATTCCCAGCCCGCCACCAACAGGTCCACCTGCCCCCAGCTTTCCACCACCTCCTCGGTAATGGCATTTACATCATCTAGTGCTTCGGCTTCCGCCTCTGCCCTGCTATCACTGATATCGACGCACTCGCAGTTTTGTGGCTACCTCCTAGCAGATTCACTCCATAGCACGCACCCCTCCCTCCCTTGAGATCAGCCGCTGTCCGTTTCGGGTTTTTCTCCACCGTGATGGCTCCATGTCACTTTGTCATCGACGCTGCCTCCTGCCTTCCTGCATGCCTTCTTCCCTAACTGCTCTCGACCCGCCCAGCTGTACCCTTCCTGCATGCCTCTCTCGCCAGCTGTCGCACCGCCTTTCTGCTTCCCAACCTCGATCTGAACACCCATCACTGTACACCCCCTTTTATCGCCATAACCATGTACACCCCTCTTTCTCCAACCCTTTTTGCTTAAAATTCCCAAGTTGTCCCACGGATTTTCATAACACATTCGTTATGTCAATTCGTGCGACATAGATGAGTCTGGCAGAGGAAAAACAGGGCCATAGACAGGCAGGGGGGGCGGCGGCGGCGGAGGCTCAGGCAGATGGTTACAGGAGGGAAGACCGAAAAGGCGAAGGGCCGAAACCGGCGACGACTGCTATTGCGGCTGCGGCTCCGCGCCGATACCAGAACCTGCTGCTGCACCACGGCTACCTCCGAGATACTCCACGCCAACACCCCCAGAGCGAGAACCCTTGCCAATACCGGCGCCACCCCCTGGACCGTCGGGACGAGCTACGACAGTAACCTCAGGACTAGCACCCCCAGAACCAGCACCCCTAGTACGAAAACCCTCTCCAGCACTGGTGCCACCCCCAGGACCACTGGGACAAGCCACGTCAGGAACCCCAGGATGAGCACCCTTCTCAACGCCCGCACCCCTAGAGCTTGAGGACCCCTGCGGCGGCTGCTGCTGCGGCGGTGGCGACTGCAGCAGCTGCTGCGGCGACAACAATGCCGGCTGCTGGGACGGCGGAGGAGGAGACACCGGGGTGGAGACAGGCGGCGAGAACGGACCGGGGCCACCAGAGTTAGCCGACTCCTCGACCCGGACAACCGACGGGGAGGTGAGTGATGTGAGACACACCAGACGGGGAAGGACGGGGAGGGAGAGGAGCAGGGGCTACTGGGGGGGTGGGAACCAGAACAGGGCGGGGAAACCGGGAGACCTCGGTGGGGAAATTGGTGGTAGAAGGAGACAAACTCAT